TATTTGATAAGTTTTTATTCAAATTATTTATCTTTGATTTCACTGAAGACTCCTTGATGACTTGCAGAGACACATCATTTTCTCTTTACCCCATAAAACACGAAATCTAGTTCTGAAAAGAGCATGAATTCTGCATTTATCATCTTTGATGTTCCTATATTGATGTGTATATTTAACCACAAAAAATAACGTTTCAAATATTCCACTTGAGAGCATTACTGCAGCCGTCATCTGTATTAAAGGGGGGGGGGGGGGGGGGGGGGGGGGCATCTAGCTCCACCTCTGCTCAATAGATTAATCACACACAGACTCATGTATTTTAGATTTTATTTATGTTCATTATGATTTTCATAGAATTATATAGAAAAAAAATTTTTTTTTAACAAAAATGAGGGCTTGATGAAATGCATGTTTAATACATGCTTAAAGGTTTTTTTTTTATTATTAAAGGTGATTTTAATGTAACAGAGAAGCATAATCAGATGCATTTTTATTTTAGTGTGGTAAAAGGTAACCATGGTATAAACATTGGCACTTTTAGAGAGCTTTGTAAAGGATCCTTGGATGGGGGTCCCTAAAGGTATTGTGGATGATTTTTTTAAAAGACCCGCCCTACACGGGCCCATTTCACCTCGTGCACGCCCTGTTTAAAATGTGCTGTTCTCATAGCTCGTACAAGCTTACTGTGTCCACATGCAGTGGGGACTATATAGTGGACATTATAGTAATCTCAGTGAACTGACCGTTTGGACAGATGATCACTGCTTTTTGCTCCCTGTTGGTCACATAACTCTTCCTCCTCCATAAGATGCCTGCACCATGTTTGTTATTAGTCGCCGCTGTCAGATAACGACAGCCTATGGCGACAACAGGCCACTGTAACAACAAATCCTATAGTACTTTGCGAGGAGAGCTCTCCGTGCAAAGCATTCTGGGATATATCTGCCTCTTCTGAGACATTTCTTCTCATACATTTTGCAGACACTTTTTCTCTTACGACCCTCTGCCATTTTCAAAGAACTGCTGTGAGAAAGATGAGCTTCAGTGACTGTTTGAATCCATAGCTCACCAAATATATATGCCTGAAAGTGCGCATGTGCAGAAAAAGATAGCTAACAGGGAGAACAATGAATGGCGGCTTTACGTAAATATTGCGAGAATGATTGACAATTAGGAGGACCATTTATTTAGATGATCCACCCGGAATTAAAAGGTCGTCCTCCATACCTTTAATAATTAAAAACCTTTAATTCAATCAAGTGAAAGTATCGATTGGCTGGACAGAAAATGCATTTATCTTACTTGGTTTAGAGCGGCTTGCATCATTGCATCCTGGGATGAACCCGATCGACCTGTAAAACTACAAGTTAATGAAGCACAAGCTGCGTAAAAAATGTCTTCATCTCAACTGAATTATTACGTGTGATGCTGGTGAAGATTCTCAGTCATCCAGGTCATAGTCATATGAAGTGTGGTATTTCTCTGGAAGGTTTTTTAAAGTTCTCTGTATATCCTTCAGTCTCTTCTGGTGGATCTGAGTAATATCATGTCCTTTAAACATTTTCCCATTAGTCCACATAATATACTTCTGAAGTTGTCTTTTTCATTATGAGCAGAGGCAAAGCTGTATCATAAACCCTGGACACGTCTGTGTGAGGTGGTCCTTGAAGCACAGACTCCTGCTCTTAACACCATTTAAATCTCCCAACACTCTTAAACTGTTTTTATCACAGTGCTCTCTAGCTATAATTATTCCTGTTGCTTCCTGTTTTTTCCTTTCTTCCAGCATTCTGTGAACAACCAGCTTCTTTAACCATGACCTTTGGTGGTTTACCCCACCACTGTGGCACCACTGGCTTGGAGCAACAGTTGACTGTTGAATTCTTGGTAAAGTTATGCATGGCGAAGTCTGTTTTTCTTTCCTTTTTTTAAACCAAGATAACCACAAATAGAAGCCATTCACTGCTTCCCCGAAAGCACAGAGGTATAGCAGTCTTGTCCTCTGAGTTTCAAAATGATCCAATTTATAGTCCCATAATTTTATGGCTTCTTAAATTTGCATGAACAATTTTATATTTCTATTTGCTGTATACCTGCTAGCAATCACAATGTTCCTCCTATGGATAATAGACCATTTTCAGCTGGTAGTGCACTCCCTGCCTAACCTGCTGGGGTTTTTTTCAGTTTTAACCGAAAAAGATGTATCTAAATCCACATCTCACCAAATTTTCCTTAACATAGGCATGAAAAGGCAACACCTCTAAATAGTGTAAGCAATGGGTTGAAGCTGTAGAGGTTACCTCTTTACTTTATATATTCTCTGCCTTTTACTGTCTTTGCTACTGCTGAATTTGGACTAAACTGTATAGTCTAATTTTAAGCCTGTTTCTAAAAGCTGACTACAATCAAGAGTTGATTAACTTAAATAGCCTGGAGGTCGGCTGAGGGACATACTTGCATAATTTCATAGACGATTAAAGCTGTAGGTCTGCTATAAATCCTGTCTCCATCCTAGTCCTAATTAGTTAATCTGTTTCTGACTGAAACATTCAAGGTTTATTGTGATCTTAGGAAACACTGTTATGAAGATTGCCGGTATTGAACATACTCAGAATCTGCATGTCAGGCTTTTTAAAGAGCAGTTTCTGGACAAAACATTGCAGCCGTTGCACCCCCTAAAACTGTGATCTACATTGGCCAATAGGTGCAGCAATCGACTAAACAAGCTGCAAAAACATCTGTGATGCAAACTGGAAAACATGCAAATAAATAAAAAAAAGGAAAAAAAAGAAAAATGCTGCTTACAATGAATACCACCCCCCATCCCCACTACAATCACTACACACAGAAGCAAGAACTTAAAATCAACAAATCCATATGACTGAAGCTGAAATTGGAATACCTTTATGCATGTAAATGTGAAATGAAACGGTAAAAGTAGTAAGTAAAAAACAAAATAAAACAGATCCAACTGTTTCTTTGCCAACACATATAATTAAAAGAAATGTATTTAGCATTGTGCTATATTCAAAACAAACGCAGGAGGAAAAACGCATGTGCTGCTTCATTTTTTATGCTTGTACAAGTTTACTTGTACAAACAGCTTTGTTCTGACACAAAGCTGAAGCATCTTTGCTGCTCTAGCTGTGCCGTGCAAAAGTGGATCTGATGCGCTTTGGGACGAGCTACCCTATCCTTTCTTTGCCTGTAGCAATGGCAGCTATATTTGCTGTGATCAGTAGGTAAAAAGTAGTTTTAATATTTTCTGAAGTGAGAAAGTCCACCTGAAAACATCACCTGTGCAGCCAGTTCATACAGATTACTATCCTGCCTTCAAATATTACTTCTCTGTCTGAGCCGCTCCAAACGAGCTTTTGCTGCGTCAAGATATGCATTGTATGCATTTGCATGTAAACTAGCTGCTTCTGCTGCCTCTACTGCTTGCGGTGTGAACGTAGCTTACAGGGGCGGATTTAGGAAATCCGGGGCTCTAGGCAAAGACAGGCAGGGGGAAATCTGAATTGAGAAGACAACACAAAACATACCTATTATACAGATAGAGAAATGTTAATAGAATAGACATCCATTATTTGTTTTACGTTTTGTCCCTCTCTTCTTATCCCTTTTCTTGTTGTGTTCCTCTTAATGTTTTGTACTCAGCTGACATTTCATGATGTCTCATTCACTAAGATCACTTAGCTGATTGCTCCTTCATGTGTTTCCAAAAAGGGAACGGCAAAAGTAAATAACCCAGTCCTTCTTTTAACTGTAGACAAGCCATGATCTGCTGATCTGTTCTCCATTTTTCATATGCATGAAATAGCTGCATGAATCATGACAGCAGACAAGATAGAGGAGAGCAGGAGGCGGGGTTACCAATCTACTTGCTCTGGAGAGCAGAGTTTGCTGCTTCTATATGTTGTCTCCAAAGTCTCCAGTAGCAGAAAAAAGTCACTAGATTTGGCGCAAGGCGCTTTTTTGAAATCAAAGTGCTAGAGAGATCTGAAAAGTCGCTAAATATAGCGACAAAATCGCTAAGTTGGCAACACGGCTCTTTGCATTGTTTGTTTTCAAATGGTTTGCTGCTGTCTGTTTGGACCTTTCTGAACATGTGCAGGAAATGGACTGATCCAATATGGTGGACACTGAAGGGGGGGCTGAGACAGGCTTAATATTATAAGTGTTCTGAGGGCATTTTAGCAAAAAGGATTTTTATCCAAAACAGAATTAATCTAAACAAATAAGGAATAGTTGAATTAACCATACATGTAAACAGAGTTTTATGGGGCCCCCAGGAACTTGGGGCCCTAGGCAGCTAATGCCTAGGGTCGTGAACTCGCAGGCGCGCGCTTTCAGGAAATCCTATACACTACTGTTTATGCTCTAAAAACATTCTAAATGACTTCGTTTCGAGTAAATTCTGGATGCTACCCACTCAAGACACTTGGAATACATTGAACAACCAGTATGGAGGAATATTGACAAGTTTTTTGTGGACTTTTATGGACCTTTCTGCCTCAGGCACCATAGACCTCCATTATTTGAATGTCAGCAGACAGCAAGAAGCCTCCCAGATCTCCAGATGCATTTGAGATATCAAAAAAGTACTCCAGAGTGTTGTTCAGCATGGGGGTAAGTAGAAAATGAAGGCTAATCATGTTTTGGGTGTACTATTCCTTTAAGTACAGGGGGCCAGCATCAGTTCTACAGGGGCAAAGACCCCTTTTGGTCCATGTCTAGAATCACCTATGGGTATCAGAATAAAAGGGCTTAACAAGAAAATCATGAAAATTACAGATCCTATTCTAAACAATTCAAAACACGCTAAATTAAACAAGAACGAAATCCCTGTTTGAATTCGTTGCTTGTGTTGGAAGGTTTACTTGTTTGGTTTGTTCTGTCTGACGCCGCCGTGGCCCGTTAACCAATAAATTAAAAGCCACTCTCCCTTTCAGCGTGTTTTCGGAGAGAGAGGTTGAAAAGGTGGGTGTCGCGCTGCATCCTGGGTACACATAGCTCCGCTGTGATGCAGTGAGCCTGTTGTGTTGAGCGGAGAACAGCGGAAAGTACTCGGCGGGGGAAAAGGGGGTCTGCCGCTGATGGGTGGGCTTTCAGCGACTTTCTACAATGTTGAGTTGAAAGCGCTCACAGAACCATGAACCAACTTCGCCGCTCGCCTCGAAGCGAAGTCAGACACGTTTGAGACCCGACGACGAGCTGTGAGAGGGCGAGCATGAAGCTCTCTGTGGCCGGCTGGACTGGGAAATGGTAGCGCGCTGCAGGGACCACCGCACTGGGAAGGATCATGGTCGAGAGGAGCAGCAAATTCTTGTTGATCGTCGTCGGATCTGTGTGTTTTATGCTGATTCTCTATCAGTACGTGGCCCCCGGGGTGATCAATTTCGGCTCCCCGCACGGTTACTTCGCGGAGGACGACGAGGGGGACATCTTCCCCACTCCGGACCCCCACTACGTTAAGAAATACTACTTCCCGGTCAGGGACCTGGAGAGGACGGTTGATTTCCAGATCAAGGGGGAGGACGTGATCGTGTTTCTGCACATCCAGAAGACAGGAGGGACCACCTTCGGTCGGCACCTGGTCCAGAATGTCCGCCTGGAGGTTCCCTGCGACTGCAGACCGGGTCAGAAGAAGTGTACCTGCTACCGACCGAACCGCAAGGAGACCTGGCTCTTCTCCCGGTTCTCCACCGGCTGGAGCTGCGGCTTGCACGCCGACTGGACCGAGCTCACCAACTGCGTGCCGGGGGTCCTCAACAAGAAGGAGAACAAGCAGAAGAACCAGAGGTAAACCCAGAACTAAATCACTTCCACAAAAAAAAACAGCAGCCCGATCCGCCTGGTTCTGATGGTCCGGATGGGTCCAGTTTGCTTCTGCACCCAGAAACCTGTTAATAACTGCATAATAACACAGATATTAATTAATAAACAGCAGGGTTATAGTTAACATATCGTGTCTAAAATCAAAACTTTATCATTTCTTGTCTTTTATTAAGTTAATTTTAATTAACATTGAACCAGAAGTAAGATAATAAAGTAAAAAATAAATTTTTATTATTATTTCATCTATCAAATATGTTGAGATCAGGCATTTCTGGACCAGTACAGCTTCTGCCTTTTTTATTTTATTTTTTTAAGGAATAAAAAAATGCATGGAAGAATAAATTAGGGCTGCAGGTTGTTTCATAGGGGTAGTGGTTTTGAATCCAGTAAAAAATAAAAAAAATGAAGTGAAATAAATCAGAGGCACTGAAATAAGCATATACACTGAAAATATGATGCATCCGTTTTGGACATTTACTTTAACACTTTTTTTTTTTTTCATTTTATCAGGGTAGGACATAAAACAGTTATGCTGTTATGCTTAAGTAAAAGCTAAAAGCTGCTGTGTCATTTTTTCAGTGTATTTTGATCAACTTTCTTTTTAATGCAGGGAAACAGTTAAAGCTTATAGATGCATGCTTTAAGAAATAAATTAGGATGATGATTTTTGTTGGATTCATAAATATCAGTAAAAAATAAAAGTTTGATTAGCTATAATTATAAATCAAAAGAAATGTTTTTGTAAGTATATCCCTTCTTGCGATAAGCGTGACAGAAAATGGATGTAAATACAAACAATTCCCCGAAGCCTTTTATATTTTCTTTGTATTAACCCTTTACACGTTTAATTGATTTGACCAGAGATGCACTGATGGGGCTTTTTCTGGCCGATAACGATCGACAGGCCCATTAATCGGTGCATCACTCGTCAGCAGAACGTTATTTAGCAGTTTATCGGCCTCTAACTTAATGCATCAAACATTTGATTCAGTAATGGATGCCTTCTTATTACTGGATGGGAGGGTGTTTTCAATCAAAGAAGAAGGCGCCAGAATCGATTTCATCCTTTTGAAGTATGATGGGACCATAATGGAGACGGGGTGACGGAGGGAGTGATTGACGTTTCCGGGGCCGTGCCGTCGCAGACGCCACGGGAGATCTTGACATTTGTTGATGGATGCCAATCAGAGGTTTCCTTCCCACCAAATTACACACCGAGGTTTCTGCTGATTTCCTCGCGGGGCGATAATCTCTTGTTTTGACTGTGAGGGACCCAGACTGCGATGCAGATTCTTAGCAGGGTGTAACCCACTTTCTCCCCGTTGTTGGAAACCCACATGCAGCATCCTTCAATCAGACATATTGACTGCTGCATCAGCTTCCATTTCACTGCACCCTCGTGGCTGAAGGGTGCGCTTGGTTGGTCAATATCTTTTCTTTTTTTCAGAGTTATGGATCAATAAGACAGTGGAGGTTTGGGAAGTAATGCTGAAATTTGTTCTGGGTGAAAGACTGATGCTTCAGACTGCAGGATTGGTCTGGAGCTGTTTTGGGGGGGGGGGGGGGGGGGGGGGGGGGGGCTTTGTTCTAATCCAAGTGATTATTGCTGCTGGGACTTGCACACACATGCACACATTAACCTTGGTGTTTTCCGCTCTGACTCCTGTGGTCTCTCCCCCCAGTCAGAGGCGATAACGTGCTCGGTCACTGAGCGTCCCCAGCCAAGAGCTCGCAGGCGCACGCGGGATAAACAGGCTTTTCATCACTTTGTGAGCTCTGTTTGGAAGTATTTGCCCGCACTCCTGTGCAGCCTGCAGTAGCATGAGAAGCGGAAAAGATCCGCACACAGGGACAGTCTCTCCTCTCAGATTTAATCAGCTATCCGATCCGTCCTGACAGGAGAAACAACAAATTATAAGCTTAATAACGCCCTGAAGAAAAGCAATGCCTCTCCACATTATGTGCAAAGCAACAATGGGAACTAGAAGCACATTCTCTCGCTGTCATATCTGCGTCTGCCCCTCGTTTTGTCTTATGGCCCCTCTTATTTTTCTTTATTTTCTTTCTGGCTGAGCTCATTGTTTTGGTTCCGTCACGCGGGGAGAGTTTATCTTCGGGCGAAAGTGTGGAAAAAGATCGGCCGCGTTCCTGAGAGATGATTTTACGTGGCAGCAGCGTCGTCCGCACAGCCTTTTCAGATCAGCTGTGCGTTTTGTCAGCATGTAGGAAACGTACCCCTGGTGACACACAGGCCTCGCACACGCAGAACATCTGCTCACTTCTCTGAGGAAGTGGCGATGTTGTTTTTGTTTTTTTGGAGTGGGATCTGTACTTATGAGAAGCAGGAAAGAGAAACGCGCTCAACCAGAAATGTTCGACCATGCGGCGGCGGCCCATGTGCTGAGATCCATCATCTCCCTCCCTCTCTCTGTCTGCAGCTGAGTTCTCCTGCAGCTGTCAACTGGATTTTTCACGCAAATGATTCAAACTGCTGCAAAATGCAACTTTGAATCTAACAATTTGGGGATGGTTTTTGACAACCAGATGTTCCGACTCTTTTAGAATAATACATCTACTAAATAAATAAATAAAAACTGCTAAAAGCATCCAGACACTGAGTAGCTTGACTGCATAGTTATGCATGTTAATTTAAAGTGTATCTTTATAAACTAACCAGCTGCACTCAAAATGCTTAAAAAATGCTTTCGACTGATATCCTAACAGAAAGTAATCCCTAATGTTAGTTACTTTTTATTGCCTTACATAATCTGATAATTATGCGATTGATTCCTAAGGTATTAGAGAAAATGAAGAGTGAACTTTACTCTTGTTTGCAACATACATGAGGAACGTTAGCATCACAACTTAAATATTTTTGGACTAATCTGCTAAGCGAGATTTGGCAACTGACACAACTGCCTTACATGGTAGTGGGAGCATCATGCTGTGGTCTAAAACAAATTAAATGCTGTGTTTTTAGACCATTTTGGAAGAAAGAGCAAGAGATCAACCGGTGGGAATACCTCCGCTAGAGGGGGATCAGGTGGCTGGGGGCCTGAGATGAGAATTGCATGATGGATCTGTCTATGATTGGGTGAGGCAGAGGTGGACGGTGATGTGGGAGAGCGCCGCTCACAGACCATCAGTCCTGTCAAACATCTCGTAAACGGTTTAATGTTCCCCGTTCGTCCCTCGGACACACACACATTCAGAGATGATTGCTACAAACGGGCCTTAATGCAGGCTTTAAGAGACGAGAATTGTAATTGGTTAAGGAGGTTCCTATCACTTTAGTCAAATTATAGACATGCTTTATTGGGGGGGGGGTTAGCAGCTGTCCTTTTCAAGCTTCCACACATCTTCTAAGTGTTCTTTAAATCCTGCGCGCTCCATTAGAGAGTGGCTTGGTAAGCAAAGTGACGGGTCTAATTTTACTGCCTCCATATCAACGTTCTCTCTGATCACCCCCCCTTCACTCCCTTCTCTCTCGCCTCCTATAAAACACCCCCTCTCTCCTTTGTGCCACCCTTCCCTCCATCCTTCCTGATGGTGTCACTTCATAATCAAAAAGCAGGCTTGCTTTTTTCCCTCTCTCTTTCTGTCCCTTCTTTTACTCCCCCTCTCTTCCTAACCTCCCTCCATCTCTGCCCTCTTGTCTTCCTTCCTCTCCCTCCTTTGCCATCTTTCTCTCCCTCTCCCTCCGAGCGTGACTGCCGCATTAGATGGAATGTCTTTTCATGGAAGATTTGCTGCAATTTCCAAAATGGCTGCTTTGCCTAATGGACAACTGCCTTGGTTCTAATGAGTGATTACATGTGTGAGTGTGTGGCGGGGGAAAGGGGGCGCCGGCAAGGAGAGAGGCGACAGAGAAGGCAATGAAGAGGATGAGACAAGAGAGGAGCTGTCAGAGAGTGAGTGAAAAGATAAAAGATTGGGGAGGGGGGGCATTTAGCTTCATTGCTGGGGAGGGGGCTGGTCAATTATCACGCTTGTCAAACACTGGGCATTCCTCTTCTGTCAGTGGGTTTGTTTCAGATTCACTGCACAAATCTCTGCACTCTATGATGGCTCGGAATGAGCACAGGCGTGGTGGTGGAGGGGGGTAGGTTGGTCAGGGGGCATGAGAGCGGATGCATGTGGATGTGGTAGCCTGGCGTGGTGTCAGCAGCCAGCACAACATCAAATCCAGATGAACTCTAGGAAGCTGCGGAGGCCGTCCCAGCTGATTGGCCCCCGAGCTACAAATCCATGCATGTCGCTTCGTGTCTGCGGGCTTGCACGTTCATAAACACAGTTTTTTTTCTCTTTGGTTGGGCAGTCCTGCCGTTAATCCAATCAGATTAACTGGGTTTAAGCGCTGGCGGCCGTGCTCTGCAAAGCCGGTTACGGTCTCTCATCCTGAGGCTATGGCTGCACTACGCTCCAGCGTTCCCAGCATCCTTCCATCCGGTCATTCCCTTCAGCTGTACCAAGCTCGACTCATCCTCCGTTATAGGGACGAGCGTGATTCTCCTATTGGACAGCAGATACTGTTTAGACAAATTTTTGACCAATATGTAAAACTTAATTAGCCAAGATCAGAATAAAGCATGGTAGTGGCAGCATCATGTTTGGGGGGGGTGCATTGACAGGAAAGCTGTTGATAACCCAATTTGGAATAAAACCTCATGCAGGCCCACAGTATACCGCTAGAACAGAGAACTAGAGCTGCTGTTGGATGGTTTATACCAACCTTTACATATGCTGGCCTAGTCAAAGTCTGGTTTTACTTTACAATCTTGAATCTATCTGTTCTGAAAGACCACTGGGTAAAAAAAATCTGAGTACCTGGTATTATTTTCCTTCCACCTCACAATCGATTTCCACTTTGAGTTTGTCCGTCACATCAGAGCTCAGTAAAATGTTATGAACTTTATGGTCTAACAAGACAAAATGTAAAGTGGGTCCAGGGGTCTTTATGCTTT